AATTTATGTTAATTACTGCCTTTTTGGTTAGATTGTTGAAATGTGGTTATCTGACATTGAAATAAAAGAGCAGTTCTTTCTCAGCTGGGAATAGATGATGAGGATGTAGGGTGCAGTTTTCCAAAGAGAGAGGGGCTTTTCAAATAGCACACTGTCATTATTTTGGGAGAATCATTCTGAAGAATGAGATTTGTCCCTTTTTCTTTCCATTTTCAAAGAGCTTAACATATAAACTTGCAAAGATTTTGAAAGGCATTTATATCTCTTAGGAGCGTGCATACGAACCTGGATACAGTTTGGTACCTTGAACAGTGTAAAGCGCCAGCCCTGTGTGTTAGTTTGCTGCCATGAGGGGCTTAAACAGCAGTAATTAGTCGTCTCACCGTTTCAGAGGCTAGAAGTCTAAGATCAAGATGTCATCAGAGTTGGTTCCTTCTAAGGACTGTGAGGAAGAATTTATTCCATGCCCTTTCCCCAGCTCCTGGTGGCTGACTGGCAACCTTTGGCATCCCTTCCAATGTAGAAGCCTCACCCTGGTCTCTGCCTTCATCTTCCCATAGTGCTCTCCCTGAGTGTGTATCTGTCTCCAAACTTCCCCATTTGATAAGGACACCAGTCATATTGGAATAGGACCAACCCTCATGACCTTGTTTTAGTTTGATTACTTATGTAAAATCCCAAATGCAAATAAGGTCATTTCTGAGATACTGTGGGTTAGAAACTCAATCTATGAATTTGGGGAAGGAGGACACAATTCAACCCATAAAACCCTGACACCCTGGCAAATATTAAACTTAGTCAGGACAGGGAGCCAAAATCTGTGTCCATTCTCCATCTGGTTCCTGCTTAATGTTTAATTCTTCAGTGGAGGCTGACTTGTAGAGTACTCATGAGGCTGACATCACTGTGCTCCTGGTGATGGGGACCAGCAGAAGGACATGTCCCCTGCATCCCAAGACATTCGTTGCTTGAGCAGAAGGGCATGTCCCTTCACCCCATCGCATCGATAGTTCCATATACGTGTGCCAGGGGTAATTCGTGGACAAGAAGGACGGTAAAGATGCTTTGTGTGTCAGCAGTCACAATCACACTGTTTCCCTTTGGCATGTCACAAGGGCTTAGCCACTGGTGACTTTATTTTTCAAGGTTTGATTGAACACCTGATTGTCTTGTTTCTGTTAATCGTTTAAGTCTCCTAGTGGTCCATGCTCCTGTGTATGTGAGAGGGTATGTTTTAAAGTAGTCAGAAAGATGTGAACATGTTAGACAGGGGTGCCTTCCAGAAGACAAGAGAATTGATGCATAGCTAAATATCACCCCTATCACGTGTCACAGTTTGGATATCTGGCAATGTTTGAAACATGATGGACACTCAGGAATTTTTGTTGACTAAATCAATAAGATGAACAAATGGAAGCTATATTTCCTACATAGTTTTTTCAACTTCTTACTTCCTGATTTTTTCCCTCCTCTGGAGTATGAATCATAGGAAGGCAGGAAGGGGTATTTATTTGCTAGTTCGTGATCCACTGTCATCCCTGACCACGTTTACCCACAGCTCACATGCTTTTAATAAGGAGGGTTGATTCTTGCTGTGCACAGCCGAGTTCACTAGATGTGTATTGCCTAACTTTCTCTTACTCTTGGAAATTCCTTTGACTTAGAGCCAATCATTATGAAGATGTGTTTGTGATCGGTTCTCACCAAGACTGATGACCTCTTTTCCATCCCATCATTTGTTGCCTAAGCCTTTTGCTGACTTTGTACAGTAGGGCAGGTTCTTCACCAAACCCCAGTTTTGGACATCTATTCCAAACTGACGAAAAAAGTCATAATTCTATTTTTCATTTGAGTTTGACTTTGTGGATAGGAAATAGTCATGATATTAAATGAGACAACCAGGATGAGAGTGAAGAGGGAAAGTTTGAGAAAGGGGCCAGGAGAGAAATCCTTGTGTATGCCTGAAGACACAGAATTCTTCTCTCAAAAGATTCCCTGCTTTGGGACTTTGATGTTTCTTTCTGGAATATAAACACATTTGATTCAGTTAAGGCAAAATCTTGGTCACATCTTCTGCAAACTTGTAAAGCCATGAGAAACTTCCACTGCTTTCCATGACTGACATTCTCATAGCCCTCAGGGTCTTGAATGACAGGGCTGAAAGTAATGGCTCAGATGTATGGAGAACTTGCTCTGCATTAGGCACTGTACTGAACAATATTGACATGTATCATCTCATTTAATCCCCAAAAGAATGCAATGAAGTGAATACCACAGCTATTTTTATTTCACATGAAAGGAAACTGAGGAATGGTGAGGTCATATAATTTGTCTAAAATCCATTGATGAATTAATGGAGAGTAGGGACTCACCCCTGAACATCTGGTGTGAGAACCCATGCTCTGAATCATTGCATGAGCCTGCCTTCAAGTCTAAATTCTTCTGGAGGGTAAGGCTGCATCTCATTTCTCTTCTAATCTCCTGCCTCAGTCATTACAGAAACCAGAAAATGGTTTAAAAGATAAGTAAATGATTCAATAACTATTATTTAGTGCCCTGTATTTTAATTTTAAAGGGTCCAAGTGATAATTTTTGAATATAAGGAGGGGGTTAATAAAGAAAGCATGGACCCTGGAGGAAACTAGTATTCAGATTTTGAGAAAGGACCAGTTAAATAATCTATTAAGTTAATAGTTAGGTTTTTTCAAATGTGCTCATATTATCATTTTCTTCCCGTATCAACAGCAGCTCTCCCAGACCTTTTTCTCATTAAGGTTCCCAATGTCATCTGTGTCCTCATAACCCTTAATGTTCACCCACAGATGGTCTTACATGGAAGGCTGCCCGTACATAAAATTTTCAGCCTCCCTCACAGCCACCTTAGGACTTATCTAGAGAGTTACCCATTCTTCTGACTTTCCTATATTTTTCTAAGGAAGAAATGTACTCATCCAATTCCAAGGCCTGCCCTTAATAAACATTGCATATAGGTCTATGACCTTTTTAAAATTAAGATGATAAAAACAATCATAAATTGTCAGTTGAATGGAAATTAAAAGAGATTCAGTGGCTTTGTTGAATGTGTCATATTCATGTTTGTATCCTCAGCACAGGGTCTGGACACAATGAGTATCCAATGCATGCTTTTTCAAACACATTGGAGTAGGACAGAGGGACTCAGAATATTGCCTAAGGACAATAGGCTATGAACCCCACTCCTGGGTACATATCCAGAGAAAACTCTTATTTCGAAAAGATACATGCCCCCCAGTGTTCACAGTAGCACTATTTACAATAGACAAGGCATGGGAGCAAACTAAACATTCATCAACAAATGGATAAAGAAGTTGTGGTATATTTATACAGTGGAATACTACTCAGCCACAAGAAAGAATGAAATAATGCCACTTGCAGCAACATGGGTGGACCTAGAGATTGTCGTGCTAAGTGAAGTAAGTCAGACAAAGAAAGACAAATATCACATGATACCACTTATATGTGGAATCTAAGATATGATACAAATGAACTCATTTACAAAACAGAAACAGACACTCAGACATAGAAAACAAACTTACGGTTATCAAAGGATAGTGGATAAATTAGGAGTCTCGGATTAGCAGATACAAACTACTATATATAAAATTGATAATGAGGTCCTACTGTATAGCACAGGGGACTCTATTCATTACTTTGTAATAAACTATAATGGAAAAGATTATGAAGAAGCATGTGTGTGTGTGTGTGTGTGTGTGTGTGTGTGTGTGTAAGTATGTAACTGAATCACTATGCTGTACACCAGAAACTAACACATTGCAAATCAACTATACTTCAACTAACAAAAAAGAAGACAGGCTATGTAACACAGCCAGAAACTCCAGGCAGTACAAAGAATGCTGGAGACCCTAGGGCTCTAAGGGGGGAGGAGAGTGGAAAAGGTACTTGATAACAGTGCTTCTCTCTAAGTTTGGTCACTGGCAGGTTGGGGGACCTATGGTGATGCTCTCCATGGATGCTGACAACTAGCCTCTGTTCTCTGTGTTCAGATTTATTTTAGGAGGTCCTTAGAGATTCCAAGATGCCATAATTCTTACAGTGAAAGGAGAGGTAAAAAGATAATTAATGCATCTTAATCATTTAGAGCATCTCATAAGAGCTCTTCGATTTTCCAACTTGCATAAATATTTAGTACTTTTGACATATATCTCAGCACTTGACATATTTTGTACATATTGGGAACGTAGTGAGCAATGATAGTTTGTTAAATGAACTCAAGAAAAAGTGTGTTTCTGAGAGATAAACTGAGACCAGAAACTATTATTCTGCAGTATAATCAACCACCTGAGAAATGCCATTTGATTTTCTCAGCACCCGGGGTGTGGGTACAAGAAACAAACAGATGGCTCGATTGACCCAAGGGAGAGGATTTGCTAGGGTTGGTGGGTTGAGACACCTAAGGTTTCTGATGAGAATGCAGAGGGAAACATTTGACCATGCTGGAGAAGAAGTTAAACAAACGAGATAAGCCATTATGGAAGGATCAGGGGCTGACGTGTGACACCATCAGAGAGAAGGTTTGATGAGAAAGGTGAGTGCGTGGAGGACTAGGATTAGGAAGTCATGGTCTCAGAATTAAATGTACTGAAGAGGAAGAATTCAGAAAATGGATGAAGGGCCAATGTGGTTATGCATCCTTCAAGAAATGGAATTATTAAAGTCAGTTAAGATGTATTTGAACTCCTTGTGATTCCCTGCTGCACCATAGCTGACAGGTTAAAGTAGCCTGTGGAGACGTGCTTCTCTCTGACTCCAGTGCATCTCAAGTCATCCCTAAGCAGGATGCTTAAGAGCAATGAGGAAGAGAGACTGTCTCAGACTCAGTCCTCTGTTTTGGGTCCCAGAGCAGCCTCTTCCCCCGGCCTCACCCTGCCTTATCGCCCCCTCCTCACTCCGACTCCAGTCCATGAGGAAGGAAGGGCAGAGTCTTGGGGTGGGGGTGGCACCTATCTCTCAGGCTGCAGGTGTTTGGGGAGCTGCTCTGCCTGGGTCTTCAGATGCTGGAATTCCTCCCGAATGAAGTCAGCTGGGGCTTTGAGTATCTCCACAGCTGTCTTGTTCTCTGCCCGGAGCCACTCGAGCCCGGGTAGCGTACTGAAGGGCTTCCCAATTAGCACAGGGATTTTCTGTCCAAAGCAGGGGAGGTAGGGCGGGCTGTGAGGAAGGGCATCATTCATTTCAACATGCCACAGCTGCAGAATGACGGGGTTGAGATGACGTTCGGCACTCGGGCGTCTGATGCCCCACTTGAAGCCAGGAACTTGGAGCTCATGTTCACTTTCCCTTCTGGGAAGATGTGCACCCCATCCACGTGGTTGAGCTTCTCCAAAATGAAACCTCTTATAGGAACATGTGCATTTGTGCTGGGCTTCGAACTGACTGCTCTCAGCGAGCCCATCCTTCTTGTCAATTCTGGTCTAGTCTCCCCAGACTATGCTGATCTTGGACAATGCCAGCTGGCCTGAGCTCTTGGAATCTGGGACATCTTTAGTCCTAATTCTTAGATGTTGAACGTAATCTCTGTTTAGAATCCACACATTTACTTTCCCCACCCACATTTTGACCTGAACTCTTCTCTCTGAACTTTGATTCTTTTTGCTTCCCTCTCTGTAGCAGATGACCTCAGAGATGAGGTCCCCTGCCCTTACAGACTGTTAACATCCAACAAACTCCTTCGGTTTAGCTAAACGTTAGGCTCTTTTTCCCTTGAGCCTACTCCACTTAGTTGTTTTTCAAGACCTTATTTAACATCACTTAGGGATCCATTTCTAAATGTACCTGCTCTTTTCACTCTTAGTTGGAAAGATCTGAGAAATGAGTCCACACTTAGAGTATTTTATCTCATCTTGTTTATTATTTACCTTAGATAGGTCTAAAGGAAAGCATTTTTCTAAAATTATAGCAGCACCACCACCACTCAAGTAAGCAGGATACACTTTTAAAGGCAGAAAGCTCTTTCCCTGTGTCCTCAAATCACAATAGCTGGAAATCTAAGGGTGAGGAAGAAGGCTGTATGTGCCTTTTCCTTGGCTATTTCAGAGCAAGATTAGACTAGCCCAGACAAAGAATTCGTCTGGCAAATAATATTTCTTCTCCAACACAGTAGCTCAGAATATCTAATAAGGATGTTCATGGGTGATTTCTCTTCCTTGAAAATTGCTGTTTAATCTTGCTGACTTTTCTTGGATGAAACATGTCCAGCAGTGGGAAATCTCCTACAGTTTTCTTAATGTGTGCTTTCCCCTTCTGATACGATGCTCATGTACCTCAAAATGAAGAGCAAGGGGACTGTGCTGTCAGAGAAAGACACTGACTTTGGAACAATGCCTGGGACCCCCCAGCAGGCACTCAGCATCCCAGAGTCAGCAGCTCTCATCCATGTCTTAAGAGACAGCTGGGTTAGTGAAGTGAGAAGTATTTTGTTCTCTAAGCAAAAAGCTTCAGGGCATGGAGGTTTGGGAATCTGTGAGGTTATTTTGCATGTTCAGAATTAGTTGCTTTCACTTTCACAGGAATTAAATTTTTATTCTATCATAGCGCATTTGTTTTGAAGATTTTGTCTTTTTTTTTAAACCTATTTTTTCCTGATGTTGTTAGGTCCTGATTTAAAATTGTTTTTATTCCAAACCAAGCAAAAGTCTTTGTTTCTTCAACTTTTTCTATGCCACCAGAAAAATGATACTTCGGATTTACGGACAGTGGGCCAAACTCCACACCAGTGTTTCTTTGCATGGACACATCTACTGATAACTAGTTTTTAAGGATGAGACTCAGCTCTCTGGTCCATGCACTAGAAAAATGCAATGTCCTCTGGCACAGCGCGCACTCAAAGATAGCCTTTCCAGTGTACATGCGTGCAAGAAATGAGGTTGCCCCTGCCTTCTCTCATACTTCCACCTCCATGGTCCACTCACAACACAGAATCCTCAATTTGACATGAGCTGCAGCATTTACATAGATGTATTATTTCTCTGGACCACCTTAATCAAAAATGTCTTTGATAAAATGCTAACCCCTACAGATACATCAGAATAAAGTACATGCCACAGAGTTAACTTGGGAAACATTAATTTCTGGCCAAATAGTGTGATAGTATGGGAAATAATGTCTTTTTTGAAATTCACAATACATATTAATAAATTAAAACCTCTGAAAAGTCCTAGAGCCAAGAAATGTCTTTCACATTTTAATCCAGTGTCTCTCAAACTTATTTAAAAATATGATCCTTCTATATGTAATGTACTAAACATGCTGATTGTCTTCAGAGTCACCACCTGCTCCTCTTTCTGACTTCCTTATTTCTATTAATCTTTCTCCTCATTGCCAAGGTGCAGAACATCAGTGTGGATTTATCCCTTCCCCTTCAAACCCTATGCTCAAACAGTCATCGACTCCTACCAGTACTGGCTAGCAAGCACCATAGCATGGACTAAATATGTGCTCATTCAGTGTCTCCAGATGTGTTTTCTCCTTTTGTTCTCCTTCCCACTATATTCTGGCCGTATTGAACTACTTTTTCTGCAACACTCTACTTTGACCATGTTCTTCCCACTGGTTAGAAAGTGTTCCTTACTCTGGAGAACTTACCCACCTCCAGCTTCCCAGTGGCCAAATGACCTGTTCTTGAAGGTAGATTTCAAAAGCTGCTTCTGGGAGGTTTTCAGTCTTCTCTGATCTGCAGTTATTTTCCTCTTTCCAAGTTAAATAAAATCTCTATCTCTTTTGACCTTTAGTTTTATTTCTCTCTTTCATTACTCTACCGTATGTTTTCCCATGTTTTCCCCTTCTAGTGAATCAGAAGTTTCTTGAGGGAAACCTTTGAGTCTGGTTTATCTTATTATCCCCTAAGAAATAAGAAAGGGAGAACTAATATTTCTCACATATCCCCCTGCCCCAGGGCTTTAGCACTTTCTATCCCTTGTGCCTCAAATATTCTTCTCCCAGTATCTTCATGGCTCTTCAGCTCACTTGCTTTAAGTCTCTAGTTAAGTATCAACTCACAAAGAAAACTTCTCCCCTTTCTTATCCTGCTGTCCTCTTGCCTTTATTTTTCTTCATAAGACTCATCCCTAGATAATACGTATAAAGATAAAAAGATATCTTTTTCTTTCTAATCATTACTCTATTTCAAGTACCTTGAATTAGATTAATTTGTTGAAAGAATGAATGAATTCAATTCCTGAGCCTCAATCATTGCATCTTTAATGATAGACAGTTATACTTGTAAGAGTTTTGGGAGAATAAATGAGGGAACAGGAACACATCATATAACACAGCATCTGACACATTGTCGCTCATAGCAACTGACAGCTATTATCATCGTTACCATTATTATTTTGTTAGTGTATACTGTTTGGGGTTCTTTCCCTTTGCCCTTAGACTGTAAGTTCTCTGTGTGCGGTAACTCTGGATCATTAGTCTTTGCACATCAGAGAGGGGTATTCAGTAAATAACTGTTGCATGTGTAAGCGTAGAATAATGTCTGGATTACAGTTTCTTCACTTATAACATAACGGAATTAAAATCTCCCAAGTCTTTTCAGACAGTTTCACTAAACAACTTGTTAAAAACCCCATGTCCTGATAGATCAGGGGCAGAGGTTAGAGTACACAGGCTGCTCCTTCTAGTGATGTATTCCTCAAATCTTCACAATGTCCTCAGTGCGACACAGACATGTGCCTCCTGGATTTGACATTTTCCAAAGCCCCTAACTATCATCTTATTCTCTTCTATATAAAGACACATATATATTTCTTCTCCGTTTCCTTTCGATTGAACTTGGTTCTTCTTTCTGCCTTTCTGGATCCCACCCCTAATATATTCTTATGATCAATCAACCAAGTTTTTATAAGCTGCTGAAGTCCTGGTGTCATTTGTTGGGGATTGTGCTGTACAGTGTTTCTGAGAAGTTCTGTGGCAACCAGGGCTCATTACAGCATTTTAAATTAGGTATCCTGAGTGTGAGAACAAAAAGCAGGGCTAGGATTCTGTCTCTGCTCGGCCTAAATTTCTACACATCTCTTTGAGCAAGCATGTACTCCCCTCTGCTATAATTTCAGTGAACTTTCTGCTGGTTCCTGCAGATCCTACATTCTGTCTGGCTGACTAATGATATATTCCCTTTCTTCTTGAGCCATCCTATGATTTCATCACATAAATAGTAGCTTGGTTTCTTTCCTTGAATACTTGGAATGCTACCTTTTATTTTGATTGCCTCAGACATCAGTAGCATGAGATCTGAGTCATAATTTATTTGACCCGTTTGAGGGCAGGAAAGCTGAGGCACATTTCTGATGAGAAGAAGGTTTGCTTCTAAGAAAATACGTTATTCTAAAACTAGCTATAAACCTTGTCATTGTTTCAGAATGACACAAGGGGTCAGGACAGCAACCCCAAACGCCTACATGCACATAACGGGCCAGCCATGCTTGGCTTTGGACAGTTATCTCCAAGCTGAACCATATACACCTGGTTTTGTCAACACTTCTGATTTTTCAAGAGAAAGTATAAATCCCGGTTTTAAGGTGAATTTTTTCTAGTTTTCAAAGATTGACAATGAATTAAGTTGAAAATAACAACAACAATATTTAAGTGCTACAAAATACATCTGTGACCAAAGGCTATTAGTTTATAATCTGTATATCCCTCAGTCTTGCCATTTTTTGCCATTTTTAAATGAAATTATCGAACAGGATATCATCACTTTCTCTTCAGTGTTCGTGGAGAAGTACATATCTCAGAACAATGTTATGATAGAATGTTCTCTAAATATCCTTCCATTTCCTTGAGAATCTAAAAGTCAGTAAAACGTACATCATTTGTCTGCTATGTTTAAGACAATGTGGGAAATACAAAGCCATCTAAGGCATCATCCCTCCCTTTCCTTAAGGAAGTAATTGTTCAGTTTGGAGAAGTAAACATTGTACGTTCCTTCCCATAAAGTGCCAGTCCTCCAAAACATGACAAACGTAAACACAAAGGAAATATTTCTATAAACTATAAGAATTTCTAAGAATTCAAAGGGGGTATGGAAGATAAATATGAGGCTGTGTTGATCAGAGTAAGCCTTAGGAAGTAGAAATCATGGATTAGCCATGAAAAAGAGGATAGGAGCAGTATATTCCAGGGAAGCAGCAAAACTGCACATCTGGGATTGCATACAGCATTATCTGTGAGCAAAGGAGAAAAACAGCCCACTGGGGGCTAAGGGCTTATGCTGAGGAGCAAGGGGTGAACGTATTTATTCCAAATCTAGCAAATACAGACACATGCACGTATAACTTTTGAAAATATCAATTAAGGGGCCAAAATATTCGGGCAGTGCAGTTGTGGGTGTGAAGGTGGATGTGTCAGCCTATCTTAGGCTATTCCCACCTGTTACCTCAATCTGAATTAATT